CGCCCCTGAGGCTGCTTCAGCATCAGCATTCACAGCCGGCACAGGCCCGTGCCAGCAGCAGAGGCCTGACCGACTTCAGGTTCCGGTTCCACCTCCTGTTGGATAGATTCTTACGGGCAACCTCTTAATGAAGTTCAAGAATACCAAGTCCTGTATCATCCAAACATATTTTCAAGTCTAAGGAATCGAATGGATGTAATCAATGGCACATATCTGGGCATTCATTTATACCTCCTATGAAGTTAGGTAGCCATGTGCTGTCATGCCAACGATGCGAACGAATTAATTTACGAGGCATACGACCGAATAGCGTATCGCCAGAAGGCAAAGTAAGTAGACCCACAGAAGTAAGACTAACCTGAATCAAATGAACTTCAAGCGATGGCGACCTCGATGGTGTGTCCAATGTAGGATGTCGATGCATCATGCGAACCAACAATTGGCCTGACGAACCCAGTAGAGTCTGGAACTCGAGCCATTCGCCATCAAATAAAGGTAACTGGAAATACACAAATTTGACCAGTCAATTCATGTTTCACGAACACGGTGAAACGGAAAGTTTACGAACCACGAGCAGCAAGCTACACCAACGAAGATCCACGAATCATTCTGGAACAACAAAGAACCTGAAAACTTTACAAGCAAGAAGGGTTTATATAGCCTTGGTTCAACCCAGGGGGGTTCGCTCCCGTGCCTTCAGAGGGCTGTTCACGGGCCCTGTGTGCGGTCGGACCGCACACAGCCTCCAAGCTCCGCCCACTGCGTCCCTACGTCAGCCTTCCGTCACCGCACACAGCGATCGCTGTGGCCGGTCGGGACTGGCCACAGCGGACCGTCCACCGCACGCAGCCGTGACGTCAGAACCGCCTACCCATCCCCTACCCCCACGCCTGCTGGACGCACCGCACACAGCGCACGCAGCAGTGTGCGGTGCCCGTGAACACCCCTCTGCATTACGAAAAATGGCAACAACCCGTGAGCAGCATCAGCTGCTCACGCACATGTTCAGGGAAAACGACATGTAATGGACTGCTGACGACGGCTCTCTCCACCAATCAGCGCTCGGCATCTCGAGCGCTGATTGGCTGGTAGCAAACGCGTCATATGTGGGTCTCATTTTTTTGCGATCAGTGAACGCGTTATTTAATACACAGTGGCCTATGGAGAATGGCACGCGGAACTGGAGGTCAGTGTTTTATTGCTTCGTACATGCGAATGGGGGTATTTGAGTGGCATTTGACACCATTTTCGAAATCTACAGTGAATTTCTGATCGACTCATGTATATATTTTCATGAATTTGATAGTATTACTGCTACATATTTGGTGTTTTATGTTGGTGTTGTTTCTCTCGACCTTTGTCTTGAACTTTTATCACATCTTTTCTCGAAAATGCTTGCCATAACCAGGTCTAAACTGTATCTGTATAAAGGGAATATGTGTTGAATATGAGGAGAAAGTAGTAATGACCATTCTGCCTATCAAACTGCCAGAAGGTGTTCTTGTAAGGTGATTGAAACTGCAGTACGGGTTGCAGATGTGGGTTGACATTAGCATTATATTATTGTTGTAACCCCACTTGCTCTAATAAAATGGCAACATGGGGTTATGTACCCACTATTGCACAGCCTGGTATTAAGCTGGTTGATATGTGGAGGATAATGAAAGCATAAAAGCTTTTCTTAAGTGAATAGGAGCGTTGCGTCTTGTAACTAATGTCAAGTCATTTTAAATCAAATGATTGTGTGTGATTGTAACTTTTACTTCAATTATTATTGCTAGTTTTGACCTTTTTAATCATCAAGTTTTATGTGTACCAATTTCATATGCCTGTGTAATGTCTGGTGCGACTTTGTGCAGTGTGGTGTCTTGAAACAAACCAATTTATTTTGTACCTTTTTGTATTTCAACAAATGTAGGTATGTCAAAGGACAAAAATGTCATGCCTATTATCATTGACACTACTACAGCTAACTTTGCCTATATTCCTTTTCAGAGGCATTCAATTCAATCTGCTTTCCAGTGCAGTACCTAGGAGGCTGCAACTGAAACTCGCACAAAGGCAATCAAGTGTCACTTCATCAGCCTACAGTAACAGCCCATCTGTCATCAAGATATGGATGAAGGGGCATAGAAGAACAACTAGTTCAAACATGAAAAGATTGTATTTTGTTTTGGACTATTTCTTAGCATAACATAACAGTACACTTGCTGCTTTTTTATGTTTGCCCTGTGTGCAGTTTTGAATAATTTTAACCATGAGATGCTTTTGTCAACTATTATCTTTACACAAGCTTCCTTTGTCATGCATATGTGTAATTTTGAGTTTACATGCATGATGTAGGCACATTTCCCTTGGCTTCATAAAAGTTAAAACTACTTGCAAGCTTTGGTTATGGACATTGGTGCTATATATGATGCTTCAAATGTGTCCAGTAGTTGATGAGAAGAGGAGTAGGACAGCTGATAGCTATTACCAAAAGTATGTGCTTGTCTGCACTTCGGGCTGTTTTACTTCCTTGAGTTGAAAAACCCTCATCTTTTGTTTCTTTCCGGTGTGCCCATTGTTTCCGTGGTGCTATACATAAACGTCAAGTTTGAAGTTGGTATCCAAGTGAGCAAAATGTGTATTATTTCAGTCCGTCTTGAATCATTCGTCTTGAATTATATCCCTAACTGACATCCTGTTATTTGTCCTGCAATGTCTGTGCCTGTGTCCGCCCCAGGGTTGTGCTCGACTCAAAAAAATTTGCCGACTCGACTCATCATTCAACCTCAGAAAGCCCTGACTCAACTCTGACTCAAACAAGGAGCTGATTTTTTCCCCTTGACTCGACTCATGACTCAAGCGGCTCAATGAAAATATGAGTCGACTCAAACTTGACTCAAATTTTTTGTTGAGTCAAGTGAGTTGACTCAAAATTGACTCAGACAAAAAAGCCGTTGAGCGGGGGGGGGGGGTGAAAAAGTCCGGCAGCAGGGCCAGGGCGAAGTTATTAAGCGGGGGGGGGGACGGGGGGGATGAAAAGCTTGTTTCTGGAAAGTTGAGTCAGCTGACTCATGTTCCTAAATGTTTGACTCAACTCAATGTCAAAAGTTATTTTACTGACTCAACTCTGACTCAACTCAACGCCTTAATATTTTTGTCCGACTCAACTCTGACTCAACTCAACAGCTCAACAATTTATCCGACTCGACTCAAATCTGACTCATTTGAGTCAGAGTTGAGTCAAATTTCTGACTCGACTCATGAGTCAAGCACAACCCTGGTCCGCCCTTACCTCCGGCTCCAGCCTCCAACCAGCCCTGCTGAGCTCTGTCGCCGGCGCGGTGTGTCGCAACGTGCTGTTTCTCCACTCCAGCCGACAGCTGCTAGGAATCGTCCTGTGCCATGATGCGCCATGCGACACAGCAATTGTAAGCTGCAGGTCACATTCGGACTGATTGGCTCCGCGTATGTGCATCCGGCCGGGAGCTAGTCGATATCAGGGACGTGGGTCGGACTGTTGTGGCGGCGTACACTGTGCTGGTTGAAGTTGTATTTCTGTTAGTGAAAAGCATTAATACATAACCATGGCTGCAGCCCAATGTTATTGTGGATTTCAGAGGGAGTGGCCAGTCAGGAGGGCCCCATGTGGGTATGGATCCAGTGTCCAGTGGGATTGGCTAAGATTTCCGGCGATTGATAAACGCTTCTATGATAGTAAACCTATTGAGTTATGAGGGGAGGTCACGTGACGGACCTGACCTTACTAAACTCTTGTGAAAACACGACACATACGAACGGTAAGAAACCGACAGCTCTTCTTTCTGCCAAGTGTCATCTTTCTGTGAAGGATTTCTTGGCACTGAGTGTTCAGAAATGGCGTTGTTTTTGGACTGTGCAGAGGCTCACGAGCGACAACATAGGTCAACAACCTGACGTACCTTAAATATGCGACTTGTACCATAAGATCCAGCTTGATCAAAAGATAGGACATGTCAAATTTCATCTCTTTATCTCAAAAGAATTTTGAGCTATCGTAAAAACCGCCAGTGTGGCACCATATCGCCTCCCCGCGCGGTCGGAAGGTAAAAGTTCGCCGGCTCTAACTAAACAAATAGTCGTCGTATCGCAAATTCATTGACGGCGTTCGAAGCGTCGTTCAATTTACTTTCGAAACATATCCTAACATTACCATTTAACTGCCTAGCGCAATCACCAACAAGCAAAAGTTCCGCGCATCCCTCCTCATACAGTGTTAGCGGCGGCCGGCCGCCGGCCGCTGACCCACATTCGCGTCATCAGGGAATGCCGCAACTAATTTATTGTTTCCAACTTTTTTCCCGGAGCGTTCTACCTGGTTTATATAGCCTTGGTTCAACCGCAGCCGTAGTGCAAAAACCCCTGCCCACCTTACCCCACGGCGAAGCTCGGTTGCAATTTGTAAATACGCACGCGGCACACGATTCTGCGCCTGACAACGTCTTCTGCACTGTTAATGTCTTTATATCGAATTCCAGTTTTCTATAGACACCGCAACCAACAAATAAAAATGACGTCATTAATAAAGGAGTTTGATGTGTAAAGTAGTAAAAAAAGGAAGAGATCACTGCAATAACTTTTGTTTCAGCATACAAAACTGTAGTATTCAAGCTCCAAATGTTGAAAGTAATTTTATGAATTGGCTGATTCTCGAAACAATTGCAAAATCATATGCTAAGCCTCCTAGTTTCTATGACGCATTTCAGATATCTCTACAGGGTTTCGACACCCGCAGCGAGACAAATGAGGCCCCTGAGAAATCCGGATTTGTATGATTTGTAGTGGATTTGTATCAGCAGAAGCGACGGGAGACAAAATACAGTTGCAAATGATTGGGATCTTCCAATTTTGACCAGTGTAATATATCCAAATATCACCATTTGGTAGTTATTTTTTTCAATATTTGCTATAACCCTGGTCGCTGGGACTCTTGAGTAGATAAGCATTTGTTTCAGTTTGTTCCTTCGTCCCAAGAAACTGGGGCCTCTCCTTTTATTGATGTGTTATGCCAAAATTAGATTGGGGTTGGGCAATCTAGGCTTCTGGAGTAGGAAATGAAGGGATCAGCCATTCAATTTTCAGGGTTGGTCATTATCATGTATGGGCATAGAATCAATTTTTTATTCACTTTGGTGTGCTCTTTTGCCTTCTAGCGACTGGTATAGTTTGCAAAAGGAACATATAAGTCATAGGTGATATTTTTATAATAAAGTACAAACATGTGAGCTTGCAAACCAATTAATTTAAAAATTAAGTGGGCTTTATATCAACCATATGAATGTCGAAGAGGGGGAGCCACTGCCCAGCCCATCACGTAACAGCCACCATGAGAAAATCACATCAGGTGTTATATGTCACTCTAAGGGCTGTTAAGCTGTGCAGCAAAAATGAAATATGCTACAGCAAATATGCGACCATCCCAAACACAGGCACATCCACCATTAACATGAAGTGCATTTCGCAACCCATGTGCTGACTCAGCTGGAACCACTTGCACTTGTCCTATGATGAGCTGCTGAGCTCTGCTAATCAAGAGGAACACATTAACACCCTTTTTAAGCTGGGCCCTGTTTCACCGGTGATAGCAGCACGCTGCATTTACACGTGTCAAATTGGGTTTCCATGGAAACATCAACAGGCCCATTGCTCCAACACTACCACAAGTGTGACGTCAGTTCGCGCAATTTGATAGCAGCGTGGTAGCAGTGTCCCGTGAAACACCGCCCTAGTTACCTACATGGTTCTGTTCACTGTGTGCCAAATTATTTGTGAGCACATTACTTAACCCCAGTTGACCCTAGCTGGCCAAACATTTGTGAACTTGCACGATCTTGCACCAAGAAAAGAATAGAAGAATTTTGTCAAATATTGTTTTTATGCTAATCTGTCAATTGCAGAAAATTTGGAAACTGATACTAAATTAACCTTCGCCCCAGTGGGGGGGCATATGTTACCACCCTGTCGCGTTTTTTGCGTATAAATAAAAAACTGCGGCGCGTAGCGCCGCGCCGCTTGGCATAGCTTTTTGTACATCAATTTTGGACAATGTGTGAAATTTTTGACCCCAGGTCATGTCAGGTCAGGTCACCAGGTCAAGTTAACTGACCAGGCCTAAAAAAAGTTTGCAATCATGTCCAGCCTGCAGTGTTTGTCAGAAAGGTCTTAAACTTGGTGGATTACATGATGTTATCGGCGCCTACAATTTGTATATCTCGGATTTTTTATATCCGTGACCTAAGGTCAGGTCAGTGGCGTGACCTTACCATTATAAGTCAATGGAGAAAAATGAAAATGCCTCTAGATCCGTGTGTACACATAGGAATAGTCCAAATATTTCAGAATCATAATGATTTGGGCCACTCATGATGACCTAGGTGTCATTTTTGCTGATAGCCTCTAGAAAGGTCATCCGAGGTCATTTGAGGCTACAAACAGATTTTTGCCAATAACTCGCGATTGGAAAGAGATAGAACGCTGGGGATGGCTTCATTGTGTTTGTCTTGTTAAGACGCATCGAATGATATGCAACATGACCTTTTCCGGTCAGGTCATGACCTTGACCTGAGGTCAAATTTTCAAGTTGACCTTTCAAGGTCAAATTATAATTCATTCGACGCGTCTCGTCGAGAGGAACACGATTCTGGCAATAGAAATGTCGTGGCTTTTTTTAGTCAAAAGTTATTGTCGAAAAACACTTTGCGTAAAACAGCTATTTTTGGAGTTTTTGCTCTCTGCAGGCTAAACCGTTGACCTGAGGTCAATTTTGATAAGGACCTTATCGAAAGAAGAATTCAAAAGCTATCGATTGCTTTTCCATGCGTTTTTCTAGCTATCATAGTTCCTGAGATAAAAGCATGTTTTCTGAAAAATATAATGACATTTGGTAAATTTTGACCTTTGATGACCTCCAGTGACCCCAATATTGCTCCCAGATGAAAAATGACCGAAATACTTTCAAACGTACGCATTGAGAGCTATCGACTGCTTTTTACCGCGTCTTTCTAGCCCTCTTAGTTTTTGAGTTAGAGGTGGGTGGTAACATATGCCCCCCCTCACTAGGGCGAAGTTGGCTGAGACCGCCACTGGGGCGCGGGTTAAATACCTACCTATAAAAAACGTGGGAATATACCAAAAGCTGGACAACTCTGAAAATTGAGACTTTGAGAGAAATGCCAAGTTTTTACCGACTCTAGAGCAGCTTATACGTTAGTGAGGAGTCATAATACCAGCCAAATACTCTGGTATCGGTATGCCAAAGAGTTTGTATCCGATTTACACATCCTATTGACTGAGGGAGTAGCTAGGTACAGCACAACAGCCACAAAATAGACGGGACATTTCTAATGCTTTCAGAAAAGGAGCACTGAAGAAAAAATCAATAGGTTTAACATTTTGACTAGTTACGAGGTCATGATATCAACAGGACCGTAAGTCATTGACATTGAAGAGCCCAAAATAAATATTGCAAAAACTTGGCGAGTTAAGCACACCCTGAAAGTTTGAATGAAAGTTCATGCAAAACTAGGCTGGATTGCTGCAGCAATTCTAATGAAACTCCACCAGGACATTGTTTCGGTTTTTGTGAACTGGCGACCTGAGCTTGGGAGTTGGGTCACTAGTGCTATGTTTTTTTTTTTTTTTTGTCAGTGAGTACTGAGTTTTAAAGGTTGCTGAAGGCGGCGCGTCTGCTGCTGTGTCCGTCAGGGAGATGGCATGGACGCCGGCTCGATGAGGGGCCAGAGGGGCGGTGGCGGGGCGCCACGCGGCCCGCGCACCGTCACCATCACCAAGACAGAGACCGGCTTCGGGTTCAATGTGCGCGGCCAGGTGTGCGAGGGCGGCCAGCTGCGCAGCATCAACGGCGAGCTGTACGGGCCGCTGCAGCACGTGTCCGCCGTGCTGGAGGCCGGCGCCGCGCACCAGGCCGGCGTGCTCAAGGGCGACCGCATCCTCGAAGTGTGAGTGGCGGTCGGAGCCGGCCGGCCCGACGGGGCGGCGACAGGGGCAGCGGGCAGGGACAGCGGGGCGGACAGGGACAGCGGGGCGGACAGGGACAGCGGGGCGGACAGGACAGGGACAGCGGGGCGGACAGGGCGGGGACAGCGGGGCGGACAGGGGCAGGGACAGCGGGGCGGACAGGGACAGAGACGGCGGGGCGGACAGGGACAGAGACGGCGGGGCGGACAGGGACAGCGGGGCGGACAGGGACAGCAGGCCGGACAGGGACAGCGGGGCGGACAGGGACAGCGGGCCGGGCAGGGACAGCGGGGCGGACAGGGACAGAGACGGCGGGGCGGACAGGGACAGCGGGGCGGACAGGGACAGGGACAGCGGGGCGGACAGGGACAGCGGGGCGGACAGGGACAGCGACAGCGGGGCGGACAGGGACAGAGACGGCGGACAGTGCAGGGACAGCGGGGCGGACAGGGGCAGCGGGGCGGACAGGGACAGCGGGCTGGACAGGGACAGTGCGGCGGACAGGGCGGGGACAGCGGGGCGGACAGGGACAGGGACAGCGGGGCGGACAGGGACAGCGAGGCGGACAGGGCAGGGACAGCGGGGCGGACAGGGACAGCTGGGCGGACAGGGCGGAGACAGCGGGGCGGACAGGGACAGGGACAGCGGGGCGGACAGGGCGGGGACAGCGGGGCGGACAGGGACAGCGGGCCGGACAGGGACAGCAGGCCGGACAGGGACAGCGGGGCGGACAGGGACAGCGGGGCGGGCAGGGACCGCGGGCTGGACAGGGACAGCGGGGCGGACAGGGGCAGCGGGGCGGGCAGGGACAGACAGCGGGGCGGACAGGGGCAGCGGGGCGGGCAGGGACAGACAGCGGGGCGGACAGGGACAGCGAGGCGGACAGGGACAGCGGGACAGCGGGGCGGACAGGGACAGCGGGGCGGACAGTGCAGGGACAGCGGGGCGGACAGGACAGGGACAGCGGGGCGGACAGGGACAGGGACAGCGGGGCGGACAGAGACGGCGGGGCGGACAGGGCAGGGACAGCGGGGCGGACAGGGACAGGGACAGCGGGCCGGACAGGGACAGCGGGCCGGGCGGGGACAGCGGGGCGGACAGAGACGGCGGGGCGGACAGGGCAGGGACAGCGGGGCTGGACAGCGACAGAGACGGCGCGCTCAGTGGCTGGTCAGCGAGAGTCCGATGAAGCGGTCAGAACAGATTAGTCACGGGGACACCTAAGTATGCACCCAGTGTAGGTGCTGTGCTGTGTGTTTCGGGGTTGTGTGCTGCAGAGGTCAGCCGATGTCGGTCATTTGGCTGCTGCCCCGACTCTGCTGTCTCAGCCGTGTGTCTCAGCCGTGCTGTCGCGGCTGTGCTGTCCCGGCTGTGTTGTCTCGCCTGCATTTTCTGCAGTGTTGTCTGCAGTGTTGTCTGCTGTGTCTGTCTGCAATGTTGTTTGCTGTGTTGTCTGTTGTGCTGCCCCAGGAGTGTTTTTTGCTGTGTTGTTTGTTGTGTTGTCTGCTGTGTTGTCTGCTGTGTTGTCTGCTGCGTTGTCTGCTGTGTTGCTTGTTGCGTTTTCTCTGCTGTGTTGCCTCGGCCGCTGACTGGAGCGTCTCTGCGCAGGAACGGCGTCAATGTGGAGGGCGCCACCCACAAGCAGGTGGTGGAGCACATTAAGTCGGGCGGCGACCGGCTCACCCTCACCGTCATCTCCGTCTCGGCTCAGGTGCGTCCGTCGGCCGGTCGGCTCACCGTCACTGTACTGTACTGCTGTCCAGTCGACTCACCGTCACTGTACTGTACCACACTGTATGTACACTGTACTGTAGCAGTACTTACAGTCGCCACTGCACTTTGCCGCGGTCCACCGCACACCGCTGCCCACTACTCACCAAGCTGCTGACCTGATCAGACTTGAGATGTGGCTAAATTTGACCTGATCATCCCTTGCGTGACCTGATCCGACCTGAGGCTACCGGCGTTGACCTTGCAAAACTTTGTGATATCCAGGCCCGTAGGGATGGTGACCTGACCTGTTCGGGGTATAGGGGCAGGCCTATAGGGATAATTCTGATAACCTTTTGCATGGGCTCAGTTGACCTAGCCCGTGTGTGTGTGTGTGTGTGGTGACCTGACCTCTCATCTGATGACCCGTGGTCTGGCCACAGGAGGCGGAGCGGCTGGAGCCGAGCGAGGAGGGCAGCACGTGCACGGCAGTCGACTACTCGGAGAAGCGCTCGCTGCCCATCTCCATTCCTGAGTACTCGACGGCCGAGCACCGCGGCGACAAGTTTATCGTGAGTGGCCGGGCGCGGCAGCTGCGCTCCGCTGTGTACTGTGTCAGCTGTACCGTACTGTGTTCTGAGTGTACTCCACTGTACTGCACTGCACTGTACTGTACTGCACTGTACTGACCTGTAGTGTACAGCGGTACTGTACTGTACTGTACTGCACTGTACTGACCTGTACAGCTGCGGTACTGTACTGTGTATGGTGGCACTATTGTCTGACAACTGGGTCAAAACAGGTGGAGGCGGGCCTGAGGTCATGCTCGCCTCGCTCTCCCTCGACCCCGTCCATCGCCCCAGGCGGATACCTGCGCCGCTGGGCTCACCAACCGGGCGCTCATTGGTCTGCCTCAAAGGCTCATTAAAAAATAGAATAGTTATTTAAGAGAAAACTATACAGGACTGGGAGATATATATACAGGGTGATTCATAGCCGCGTGACCTATTTTCCTTTGAAGAGGATTGCGTATTTGTGCGTGAAATTTCACGTCCTAGTGGAAAATGCTACGGAGTTTTGTTCTGTCCTGGGTCTGGTCTGTGTGTACCGGTCAAGATGTACACAGTGCACCAAAAAGTAAAAACATGTAATTTCTATAATTTAACGCAGTCCGTTAAGCAAACACAAAAAGATATTTCAGCACGTCTGAGGGCTTGCATGCACGAGAGAAGCTCCAAACAAGATAATACCTCATAGAAGTATTGATAAATTCAAAACCAGGGGGCACGGTTCTTTATGATAAACACGGCAGAAAACATTGTAACCGAAAAGTTGATTTCAAAGAGCGCTGAGTTCCGGTGAGCGCCACACTCGCGGGATCTCAACGCCTTTGACTTCTTCCTCTGGGGCGATGCAAAGTCCGAATTTTACAAAGAGAGAATCCCCAGGATATTCCGCGGCTGAAGGACGCCATTGCAAGCTTCATTGGCTCCATTCCCCAGACATATGCGCCAGCGCCATGCATCGCCAACTTTAGGGCTCGGGTGCTGGAGTGCATCCGTCACCGAGGTGGCCTTTCGCCGTTTCATATGGTAGTTGGCAATTGCATGTAACACGAAAGTATTTCCTGTAGTTTTCATTTATTTTCGGTCACGCGCCTGTTAATCACTCTGCTGGGATGCGTTCGCCGGTGCCCCCGCAACCAGGGATGCATTTAGTAAACTGTTGCAACTGGTGTCGTTCACGGGTTTCTTGGCTACACTGGAAAACGTCGGGCAGTCGCGACACTTTGTATCTGTCGATGACAGGCGAATTTTCAGCTTTGTAATGGAACAAATGTCCCTACCATAGCCTCTTCTGCGAGTGGGATGGCTCCCGTTGACACCCATTTACTGCCATCACAAGTTACCGGACGGCGACCTCCCCCCATCCCGCTCCTCGACCGCTCCCTTCGCCCTGCTGGCTGCGGCTGGTCAGGCTTCGGTCAGTGCTTTCAGTGGCCCTCAAACTTTTCCGCCCAGCCGCAGCTGGCACTGGTGGCGCCCCCGCCCCTCAGCATCTTTCATGAGCAAACTTTTATGAGAGACTTTACTAGTGACCGGCATCGCTGACGCGCTTTCTTGGACCACGTGGAGGTTTGCTTTGTTAGAGCGGGGCGGATCGCCTTTACAGTTCACACACTAAAGTGTTTTAGTACTTTGGTAGCTCAACAGTTCCTAAAAGCATAGGATTCCCTGAAAAAAGAAAGTGTTCCACCTCTTGCGCACGCCAAACCTATTCCCACGAGTTCGGAACAAGGAAACATTCAGAGTGCCATACATTTTACGTGTGAAGTGCAATTTTCGGACTGATTGCTCCGACCATTTGATCTCCAACCCTGGTGTACCATTGGGTTGTTGAATAGGTTACAGATATGGTTCACGTGCATAGAACGCGCACCTTTCACCCTGTCCTGTCCGTTTTTACACCACCATTTGGTGCTTATTATGTTCTGTTGATGTGCCATATTTGATGTCGCTAGCACAATTATCATCAGAACCAGAGGATCGCTCGTGTCAAGAAAGTATTGCGCCCAAGGTACGCGCAGCCTGGCCCTGCACCCCTACGCTATGGCATCCTATCAATGAAGCATTGTAACCTGGTGTATATCCCATCAAACGTCCAAGTTTCCTACCGATGTCATCTAGGTACCGTTTTTTTTTTTTTGCAGTCGTGACAATATTTGAGCGGGTGCATGAGGCATGCACGTGCATAGCGGGCGACACCGTTTTGGGGCCTTGCCAAGGGCTATCAGTGAACCGAAGGCCCTCTCGATATCAAAAACCCTTCTGGGAACTAGAGGATCTCAGTCCAAAATGGTTTTCTGCCCCTGGTACTTGCGACGTGCACTATTTATATATGAAACCCCCAATAGGTAAGGCTCAAGGTATTGTAGGTTTGTCCTGCAAGTATCGCTTTGCCCGTGACCCCGGATTGACCTATATCCCTAGTCCCTGACAAAAATCGTGTCACCAAAATGTTAAAAGCGGAATAACAGGCGACAAAGAGTACCGGGTGACTCCGGGCCCGCGCAAGGTTTACCTCTCGTCCGAGACGAATCGAACGGTGCCACCCCGTCCCGCTCGGTCCGCCTATTTGGCCTCTATGCCCAAAACGGCGAGCACACACACTGAGAACCGGGCTCGGCCGAACCTTTTGGAGCGATCGCCGAGAGGAATTCTCTGGATCTAAAAGCATGCTATTGCATGCCTCCAATGCCCGACTACCGTACTGTAGTGTGTGTGTGTTGTACTGTTGTACTGTGCTGCACTGCGCTACTGTACTGTACTGTACTGTACTGCTGCACTGCGCTATGTACTGTACTGTACTGCTGCACTGCGCTACTGTTCTGTACTGTACTGTACTGTACTGTACTGCTGCACTGCGCTACTGTACTGTACTGTACTGCTGCACTGCACTACTGTACTGTACTGTACTGCTGCACTGCGCTACAATACTGTACTGTACTGCTGTACTGCGATACTGTACTGTACTGCTGCACTGCGCTACTGTACTGTACTGTACTGTACTGCACTGTTCTGTACTGCTGCACTGCGCTACTGTACTGCTGTACTGTACTGTGCTACACTGCGCTACTGTACTGTACTGTACTGCTGCACTGCGCTACTGTACTGTACTGTTCTGTACTGCTGCACTGCGCTACTGTACTGTACCGTGGTGCTGTAGCTGACTGCACTGTTGGGAAGCCCCAGCTGACTGCTGACCTCTGTCCAGGTGTACAACATCTACATGGCCGGCCGCCACCTCTGCTCGCGGCGGTACAGCGAGTTCGCCAACCTGCACAAGGAGCTCAAGAGGGAATTTGTCGACTTCAGCTTCCCAAGTCTGCCCGGAAAATGGCCGCTCAAGTAAGGCTGTTCCGTCCGCTATGAATATGGAGCACTGCGCTCCGGCCGCCAGCACTGTAGAGTAACCCCAGCTGACTGGGGTTTTCCCCTAATCACATCATACTAGTTCGTTGAATAGGTAAGGTAAAATGTGCCATAGTTCAGTGATATCAAGAATTTTAGTTAAGTAAAATATGCCTTCAAAATCTTTCAATTTTTTTTCTAAACTGTCGCAACCGTTTTTTACATATGTATAGGAGTTTCCGAACCCATTGTCCGAACGAGGTCGGCATGGTAACATTGATGCAACTGCGTTCCGAGCTGAAAATTCCTGTTTTGTGAACCAAAATTCACCGCAAAACTGGCGAACTGATTCTGATGACGCTATAATAGTGAACAATGCTTGTTGGTTGGCAGTGGCCAGTAGGTTCAACGATTATAACAAGGACACAGTGTAAGAGACAAAATTCGAGGGCAGGCAGACCTGTGCTCGCAGGCTCCTCTGGATCTCGCTCAATCCGCAAAGTCGGCGAGCTTCTATCGTCCCACTCATGGTCTCCTGAGCTACATGGGCGCATGTCTCCATGGTTATCCCGCGTATGGCTCCTCTGATGGCCTTTTTGATCTCGTCTAGCGTGTGCGGCGCCTTCACGTACACGACGTCCTTCAGATACCCCCATAGATAGAAATCCATGGGGGTGAGGTGTCCGCGCACTTGCTGTTGAGAGACCGCCAAAAGCGTTTCAACACTGCCAGATAACGGTCTGAAGTCACCGTCTTCGAAGAAGATCGATCCGATTATGCTCCGGGAGCTAAGCGCGCACCAGACCGTCACTTTTGGAGAATGTAATGGGACTTCCAAAGTCTTCTCTGGTGGGTGTTTGCCCCAGTGTCTGTGGTTTTGACGATTAGGTAAGCCGTGAAGGTAAAAGTGTGCCTCCTCGGACCACCAAATGTTGCCGATGAAACTTGGGCAAGACGAGCACTTTCCTAAAAACCAACGGCAAAACTCCAACCGTTGTAGGCAATCAGACTTGTTCTTGTTCTTGAGACGTTGATAACATGTATGCCTTAAGCTTCAGGTCCTTCCTAAATCCTAAGAATCCGATGCGTGGAACAGCGGCTGAGTCCAAATTGTTACGCAAGGTGTCGCACGGACACTCCATACTTTTCCTCAACTCGCCGAATGACTTGTCCGATTTTCAAAGGTGTTCGGGCAGTTATCTTGCGGCCGCTGGTTCTAGTATTTTGATTTCCGACTGCTCCGTGGGCCAATAAATGTTCATTAAGCCGTTTTACTGTGTTTGCCGGCGGTTTCTCTCTTATTGTAGGGAAATGAGCCCTAAATTTCATCTGAGTAAATACCAGGGAACCGGTTTGAAGGTAAAATTTCACGATTATTTTCCTTTCCTCTTCACTTAGATAAGCTTTAATTTATGCTGACGTGAGCGCGTGCTTATTATATGCTGAAATATCTCCATTTTAAATGTGTAGGTACACTTTTTGTGAGACACCCTGTACAATGTACATGTGATGAACGACCTAACTAGTTCTTCGCATTTGTTAGTGTTGAACTTAACGAGGCCGGAGCCCACGCTAGGCAGAGCACCTGTTATACCTATGCAATGTCCGTTCCCTATCACGGCCCGCCCTCTCCGTCCGCTTCCTGTCCCTGCCCGCCGGCCCGCCCGTCCACCGGACGGCGCCTGTCCCTGCCCGCCCACCGGACGGTCCCGCCCGCCCGCCCGTCCACCGGACGGCCCGCCCGCCCGTCCACCGGACGGCCCCGGCCGCTCACTGGACGGCGCCTGTGGCCAGGATGAGCGAGCAGCAGCTGGACCAACGGCGCCGCGGCCTGGAGGCCTACCTGGAGAAAATCTGCTCGGTGCGCGCCATCGCAGAGTCCGACCTCGTGCAGGAGTTTCTCACCGACAGTGACGACGAACAGGTGAGCGGCCAGCGCCGCCGAAAACGGGGCAGACACACGCTCATAGCTACTACTGCCCTCCTCGGACAGGGATAAGGCTGACTGCTTACTCTCACTACACCGTTTTAGAATACTGATGTGCTTTTTCTTGTGATGCTCACTTTGGGATAACTTACCTTACCTTACCCTTCTTTACCGGTACAGAATTTTGTAGGCCTATAAGGCCTGTGGGGACCTGATTTCATCGAGCTCCTGTCCAGTGACAACCATATATCTTGAATTGGGATGCTGAGGGATGCATCACTCCAGTGAGAGTCGAGGCGGGCTTTGAAGAGATTGACGGATGTAGAGAGGAAAACAAAGGCAGGAAGCGCATTCCAGGAACTTTGACGATTATTTCCAGCTCTTGAGTACGAAACGGTGCCTTTCTTGCCTTTTTACATCCCACCACTAATATGACAATAGCACTTCCGATGAGTCCTCTGAAGTTTACTTTTTATTTCTCTGTCGCTCACAATGTGTGTTCGATACGAGTATTGGTGCCCCGCTCACAGTGTGTCCGGTATCGGTGCCCCCGCTCACAGTGTGTCCGGTATTGGTGCTCAGCGTGTGTCCGGTATTGGTGCCCCGCTCACAGTGTGTCCGGTATCGGTGCTCAGTGTGTGTCCGATATTGGTGCCCCGCTCACAGTGTGTCCGGTATTGGTGCCCCGCTCACAGTGTGTCCGGTATTGGTGCTCAGCGTGTGTCCGGTATTGGTGCCCCGCTCACAGTGTGTCCGGTATCGGTGCTCAGTGTGTGTCCGATATTGGTGCCCCGCTCACAGTGTGTCCGGTATTGGTGCCCCGCTCACATTGTGTCCGGTATTGGTGCTCAGCGTGTGTCCGGTATTGGTGCCCCGCTCACAGTGTGTCCGGTATCGGTGCTCACAGTGTGTCCGATATTGGTGCCCCGCTCACAGTGTGTCCGGTATCGGTGCTCAGTGTGTGTCCGATATTGGTGCCCCGCTCACAGTGTGTCCGGTATTGGTGCCCCGCTCACATTGTGTCCGGTATTGGTGCTCAGCGTGTGTCCGGTATTGGTGCCCCACTGTCAGTGTGTGTCCGGTATCGGTGCTCAGCGTGTGTCCGGTATTGGTGCCCCGCTCACAGTGTGTCCGGTATCGGTGCTCAGTGTGTGTCCGATATTGGTGCCCCGCTCACAGTGTGTCCGGTATCGGTGCCCCGCTCACAGTGTGTCCGGTATCGGTGCTCACAGTGTGTCCGATATTGGTGCCCCGCTCACAGTGTGTCCGGTATCGGTGCTCAGTGTGTGTCCGATATTGGTGCCCCGCTCACAGTGTGTCCGGTATTGGTGCCCCACTGTCAGTGTGTCCGATATTGGTGCTCAGTGTGTGTCCGGTATTGGTGCCCCGCTCACAGTGTGTCCGGTATTGGTGCCCCACTGTCAGTGTGTCCGATATTGGTGCTCAGTGTGTGTCCGGTATTGGTGCCCCGCTCACAGTGTGTCCGGTATTGGTGCTCAGTGTGTGTTCGATATTGGTGCCCCGCTCACAGTGTGTCCGGTATTGGTGCCCCACTGTCAGTGTGTCCGATATTGGTGCTCAGTGTGTGTCCGGTATTGGTGCCCCGCTCACAGTGTGTCCGGTATTGGTGCCCCACTGTCAGTGTGTCCGATATTGGTGCTCAGTGTGTGTCCGGTATTGGTGCCCCGCTCACAGTGTGTCCGGTATTGGTGCCCCACTGTCAGTGTGTCCGATATTGGTGCTCAGTGTGTGTCCGGTATTGGTGCCCCGCTCACAGTGTGTCCGGTATCGGTGCTCAGCGTGTGTCCGGTATTGGTGCCCCGCTCACAGTGTGTCCGGTATTGGTGCCCCGCTCACATTGTGTCCGGTATTGGTGCTCAGCGTGTGTCCGGTATTGGTGCCCCGCTCACAGTGTGTCCGGTATCGGTGCTCACAGTGTGTCCGATATTGGTGCCCCGCTCACAGTGTGTCCGGTATTGGTGCTCAGTGTGTGTCCGGTATTGGTGCCCCGCTCACAGTGTGGTCTCTCGGTCGGCCAGGGCCACGTGGTGGTGGGCCTGAAGGTGCTGCTGCCCGACCAGGAGGTGGTCTCCGTGGCCGTCACCAAGAGCGCGCGCGCCGGCGACGTGTACCGCGCCGTCGTGCTCAAGACCGGCATGCAGCCGGAGACGGCCGACGCGTTCGCGCTCTTTGAGATAGTCGAGTACCATTTCGGTGAGTGCGGCCGCTGGTCCTGGGGTGGTGTGTGACCGGACTCGCTACGAACGTAGAAAAGTTAATTGACGAAAAGACAGGAGTTCTTGCCGGTGATAGAAGGGTTCTCGCCTCTCTGTCTCTGTGTCTGTATCTGTATATGTATCTGTATATCTGCCTGTCTCTCTTCCGC